AAATCTTCTGTCGATACCCTGTGTCTTTTCAAGGACGTACACGTATCGAGGTGAAGAGAGAAGAAACTCTGTCTGTTTCATAGTTTCTGACTTTATATCATTTTATGTTCAGCGTGAATCCATGATTAAATGTTCTGATTATTTATGTCCTTTGGTAATGTCACGGTTGATAATCTATCACTTATTTGAGAGAGTGGTATGTGCTAACAGTCAGTAAATGTGTAGAATTATCTATCAATTATTGTCACTCCCCTTGATGTGTTGCAGTATTGGGCAATTTATGCTTTGGATACATTTTTATAACTTTCATTTGTTATGACTGTTTGTTTACCTCTATAAAGATTAAGTTCCATTTTGTTCTCGTTTAATAAGTTTTTGAATAATTGTCTTTAAAACGAGCTAAGTTATTTAAAACAATCTGGAGAAAGAGTGATCCATCGGAAGCACGAATCACAACAAAATTACATGAAAACTGAAGACTCGGTTGACGGATAATGAAAAAGTGCAACATTCCTCACGGTCCCTAGCACCGGCTTGAGCGGTACTTAATTGTGAATTACTTAATATACAACACAATTTACTACAAGCAATTCGAGTATCACTACAAGTTTTACAATCAATAAAAGTATATTTACAGCAAATGATTTGTCTAAAGATGTGTGGGAATAAACTATATTTCTGTTACAAGTTCTTATGATTTCCCATGAGCTATTATAAACTCTAGGCGTGGTTCTTTTCAACAACTGCATCAAAGATCACTTCATACGTGCGAGTTATTCCAGAGAAAACTCAGACATTTTAAGGCTGCAGATTCAACAATATTAGCGATTAAATAAAGGCTTTTAACAATAAATTATTATTTTTAAATTTTAAAAAAAATGAGCACGCTTAATTATTTTTTAAATTTTTCAACGCCCTTAAACATGAAATCTCTTTTAAACAAAAATTAAACTAAAATTTCGTGTGCAAAGGGCATCTAAAGATACGTGAATCAAAAAATGTTCACGTTCAAATTGGAAAAAATATAAAACACTTCCATTATCTATTTTTAGCAAAATAGTTTGAATTTGATACATGTTGAATTTTGCTTGGCCAGTGTTTCTAATTCGTTAACCAAATGATTCTAAAATTTACAGTTTCAAATAGGGTGTATCATCCTAAATTAACAAGTTGTAAGTGAATACAAAATTAGTTTTTAATTAATTATGGCCCCGCCATATAATGGCAAGGGCATATAATGTTACCCTGTTCCGTCATTCCGTCATTCCGTCCTTCCGTCATCATCAGTTTCCGTTCATTATCTTAATAACCGTTTCACATATTGAACTCAAATTTGACATATAGATATGTCATGAGAAAATACAGGTCAAGTTCGAAATTAGTCATGGATCAATGATTTTTGGCAGAGTTATGCCCCTTTTACTTTGAAAATAATATGAAATTTTCAGTTTCCGTTCATTATCTCCCCAACGGTACAACACATTCAACTCAAACTTGACATATGGATATGTCATGAAAAAATACAGGTCAAGTTTAAATTTGGTCATGGTTCGATGATTTTTGGCAGAGTTATGCCCCTTTTACTTTGAAAATAATATGAAATTTTCAGTTTCCGTTCATTAACTCCCCAATGGTACAACACAATCAACTCAAACTTGACATATGGATAAGTCAAAAGAATGCGCAGGTCAAGTTCAAATTTGGTCATGGTTTGATGATTTTTGGCAGAGTTATGCCCCTTTCACTTTGAAAATAATATGAAATTTTCAGTTTCCGTTCATTATCTCCCCAATGGTACAACACATTCAACTCAAACTTGACATATGGATGTGTTATGAGAAAATACAGGTCAAGGTCGAATTTGGTCATGGTTCGATGATTTTTTGGCAAAGTTATGCCCGTTTTACTTTGAAAATAATATGAAATTTTCAGTTTCAGTTTATTATCTCCCCAACAGTATTACACATTCAACTCAAATTTGACATATGGATATTTCAAAAGAATGCGCAGGCCAAGTTCGAATTTGGTCATGGTTCAATGATTTTTGGCAGAGTAATGCCCCTTTCACTTTGAAAATGATATGAAATTTACAGTTACTGTTCATTATCAACCCAACAGTGTTACATATTCAACTCAAAATTGATATATGGATATGTCAAAGGAATGCGCAGGTCAAGTTTGAATTTGGTCATGGTTCGATGATTTTTTTGCAGAGTTATGTCCCGTTCACTTTGAAAATAATATAGATACATCTTAGGAATAAGCAGTTTAAGTTGGAATTTGGTCGTTGTTCAATGATTTTGGACAAACTTATCTTTCTTGAATGTTGGAATAATTTTGAACTTTCAGTTTCAGCACTCATACTTTTGTGGAAATGTATATAGCCATTATTTTGGCTACAAATATGCAATATGCTATTTTCAAAAGGTTAAGACTGAATAATTTTAGTGCCTTGAACATTGTATAAAAATGGTTTGTGTGAACATTGAAAAGTTTTAAGGGCTTTGAACATAGAATGAAAAAAATAATTTGTGCAAACAAATTTGGAACTTAATATTATAACATTTGAAATTTTGGCTGCATGCGGGGGCATCCGTGGCATGATGACACGTTTCTAGTTTTGTTTGTATTTCCTTACATCCGTATTACACACAAGCCTCATCATCCCCCGACAAAACAAGATTACAGATTTCATATATTACCTTTTGCAAATTTAATATATGCTTCAAACCCGTATGTAGAATGTGTGTGTTTTTATTGATCGTGCAAAAATAAGAGGATATTGTCAGAAACATTGGCATAGATATTTCATGTATTTTCATTCAAATGTCTCGGATGTCAAACTCGTAATTGTTTTCAATGCGATAAAATCTTTGAATGTCACCAATACAAAGTCTAAATGTCTGGAAAAAGGAAACCGCTTAAAAGTAATAAAACATGGTAGAATAACAAAATTTCAAGATTTCAATTAACAGTAAAATAACGAAGCATGTATCAAAATGAAGCATGTATTAAAATGAAATGATATTTTTAAAAGCTTTCTAAGAAGGCATATTTACGAATATTTCTACCTTTCTGGCAAACTTTGACCATTGTAAAATACTGAAAATCCCTGGCAAAGTCGTCCAAATAGCCATTACAAATGCGAACTTTGCATGCATTTTTACAAAACAAATCATAAAGAATAAGCCAAAAACAGGCGTGGCAAAAAGAAACCTGCAGGTATGTTACCAATAATGAATATTGCAGACTCGCTTCGTATGAGTCTGTATTATACTAGAATTAATTTCTGGTCTTACTTACACCATAAATTGGTCAATAATCGGTCAAAAACATTTTCACTGTTGATAAAATGTTTGCTTAAGTATGCACACATGGTCTGCATTGTTTTTGCACATTTAAAGTGAGCTACTTCCTGTTTCTCCCGACATTGCTCTTATTTAGAGACATCACTCAACTACACATTAAACATTACCAGATGTGCTCTTTTAACACTTAAAAATTGTTGAAATTCCCACACTAACTTTTGTTATTAAAGAAAATATTTACATGACAATATCTATGATTCCATCAATGAGATAGTATTAAGTTACGCGTTTCTATCCGACTTTCATTGAAATGAAATAGTTTGCCCTTAAGGACAGTATCATGGCGTTTTCTTATATTGTATTTGTCTTGGGGGTTTTTTTTGGGGCGGGGGGCGGGTTGGGGTGTGCAGATGAGATTGGGTATGATAAGAAATTGAAGGAGGCTGACAGATATGAATTAACGATTTTTTTGTCAGAAATTGCAATAAAGTTGTAGACAAAAATGTTGAGTGATAATCTGGCTACCATGGATTTTACTTTTCTAAATTTTAAGGACTTGCTTAAGGTTGATACAAAGTTGTTGTTAACAAATGTTTTAAACTGTTTCCTCACTAAGAAGATAAATCATATCTGAATTATACAAGCATCAACATGAAATATCGTACATTGGACGAAAATGATCTCTTTGAAAACAAAACAAAATTAATCTAATGGACAGTTTTGTTATTTATGGAACCATTGTTTAGCACTGAGTCATTAGTCTAGTATCAGTGTCTCAGAAAATGACTGGCGATCAAAAAACAATTTTTCTTCATTTTTTAAATGATCATATAAGAACCATTTTCTCAAATTTTAAGTAAAGGTTTACAACATCATGTTTAGTAAGACGATTTTTGTATCATAACATGCTGCTATTACTTGTAATTTCAGTTTTAATGTCTCCTAAACTGCTGTAAAAAATCTAGTCTTGACGACAATTTTATAAAGAGGTTTTGCCGTTTTACATTGCTTTCAATATTGTTATTTGTACTATTGTCTCAGTAGATGGGGGGCTTCCCTGAGATTAACTGTAATTCAGAACACACTATATTGAGCCAAAGTTGAAAATGACTAGCCTTTTTACACGAAATCGGTGCAGTTAATGTTATGCTTAAAAAGTAATTGCATCTGAAAGTACATAACAGTTCATAATATAATGATGCATTTTCAGTTCCTTATTTGGATATTCGTGGAAACCAAGCATTATCTGACGAATGCATCAAGTACTGTATCGTGTTGAACGCGTGAACAGATTGTTATCATCTATAGTTTAACACCAGAGATGTTTTTCGGTCAACCAGAATATGACGACTTGTGACAATATTTAGAAATTCATGTCATCAAAACACTCGAACTGGAGGTCAATTGTCTTGTCTTGGTCACATATGTATTGGTTAGATTTTAAGTGATGATAGACTACGTAGTTAATTACAATGACTAAAACAATTGAAAAAAAAATGAAGTAACAGTATTTATAGTAACAACATGGTTAACAACTGCTGTCTAATTAGTCGGTTTAAGTGGCCGGGTTTATGCCAAATAACCACGCAAACTTGTTGTCCTACGTAAAGAAACAATAGTTAAAAATAATTGGTTGGTTAAGTATATTTTCCGTTTTATAATTACCCTAATAAACCACTTTGTATATAAGTATTTCCAAAGTAAAATATATCGCAAAGAGAATTTCCCTTATAAAAGTGAGAGTTTGCAAAAGTGAAGTTTGATCTAAACAAAAAAGTGTTTCGTTTTTTTCTACAAATTGTTATTCTGTTCATTAAAAAAGGATGGAATTGTACATTACTTTAATTATGTTTGTAAGTAGTCTTATCTTTCATACATATTTATATATTGAATGTATACAATTATACGTGGTATAATATATCCCAAAATCCCGGACTTGATCGATACCTAAAAAAACAATTTTATAACTAACATATTTGTATATAAAAAGAAAAGAAAAAAAATGTAATAATACTCTTACATTGAGTAAGCTGTTTCATATTGTACCATCGACGAGAAAAGATGGTTTAAGTCGTACGCGTCCAGATATTTAATATTAAATAAAATAATAAATATTTCACAAGTATATAAAAAAGAAGAAAAACGAAGAGAAAATACGCGAATGGTTAAGAAATGCAAACTTCTTATACATGTATTAGATAATTTATTATTGAAAAAAACTTTGGTACATTTTATTTAAAAAATGATAAAATTTTTCGTTGTTTAATCCCCATATTTCTATTATGCTACTTATAAAGTATTATTTTACATACTTTGGAACGTAAAGTAAATTGAGGGGATATTTAGCACACACGAATCAACATTTGTAGAAATGAAAACTTTTTTTTTATAACTTTCCAAAAAACTAACACAATTAAAGCTGTAGAAGTTAAACTTAGATGGTAACACAATACTTATGCATTCATGGTCACCACCACTTGACTCAGATTTTGATCAATCAACAAGCTTACTCTCTTATATTTAATTTCTTAAAAAATGTTGTTTCTATTATTTTAACAGACGACTTTGTTGCTGAGCGGAAGAACGTTTGCTTATGGTAAGATTTTTTTTTTAACAATCGTTTTATTTACATCAAAACGCCAGAAGATATGCCTAAACAAGAATAAAACCATTTCAAATAATATTTATGGATAACTGCATATTTGCATACTGTTAGTTAAGGCTTTGTTATAGCATGTTATTATGGTTTTTGGTTAAAAAAATATTGTATTATTAATAGATTATACCATTACACATATGAAAGAGCCAAATAAAAAACCTGTACATATATTATATATGTCTATACTAATACAATTGTCTTATGAAATACTGAATCTAAGCCTTGTCTGTAATAAATGTCAAAAAATATAATTCAATACAGTACAAGGTATATGACTGATGTCTCTTTTATATCAATATTTTTTTTTCAATTCAGCTTTGCAAAATAATTTGGAAAATGAATATGTAAAATGATGATCTTTGAAAACTTTGCAAAATCAGTACATTTGAAATACAATTTATAATAGATGTTCTATACGTATATTTGTATCAATACTTATACAACCATTATCGCTCGCTGCCTTTTTGTTGGTCTACTTGTGTACGGTGTCCTCCCTCCTGGGCACCGTATCTTCATTAATCGGCAGATTGATTGTGTTTTTGAAGGTTCCTGTTACTTCTTATTCATACTTTAGTAGTCTAATTACATTGTAGTATACCAATCAAATTTACAAATCAATACATTATATTTCAGATAATTATAAATTAATATATACATGTATTTTAGAGTGGTGCAACAGTGAACCTGCGGATGTTATATTTGTTTTGGATTCATCATATAGTATTTGGCCGCCAGATTTCTACAGAGAGCTCAAGTTTGCTGAAAATGTGATAAAAACATTTAACATTGGACCGGGTACAAACGACAGCCGAGTAGGTGTTGTTACCTTTGGACATGAAGTGTGGCCAAAATTTTACCTAAACTCGTATTTAAGTATGTTAAATGCTTATTTGTCTATCCCAATATTTTCAGATCTGCTCATTTCATTTAAAAACTGATTTGATTTCGTTTTGATTGTGAACTCTATTCAAATTATTTTTCAACGGTCTGATTGCATTGTCGGTATATTTGCAGTAACTTAATTATATTTTAAGTTAGTTTCACGTTTTCACAAAGGGGCAAATGAGTTGAACCACAAACGTTCCGTAAGCTAGCTGGATAGCTTCCTCACAGGTCTCTGTCGGGGTTTTTGGATTCATTCATGTGGTTCTACGTTGTGATCTTCAAATATATAATTCAGAATATAATCACTTCAAATTCGTTCTTAAAAGTTACTTCGTATGCATATTATATGATTTTGAAGTAGATCAAATTATCTTATCTATAATTTAGAATAAAGTTTAAAGTAGAGCATAGATCTACATGATTGTGTTAGTATGTGCATTTTTGGTTAAATAAAATTGTACTAAAATGTATTATCTAACTTTATGTGTTTTCTAGATAGAGGCATGGTAATTCGCGCATTACAACGTATAAGTTACGGTGAAGGGAAGACTACTAACACAGGCGATGCTTTAACTTATACACGTGACGTCATGATGTCTGAGCGTGCAGGCGGACGCAAAAACGTCACAAAAATCGTCATAGTGGTGAGTGACGGACGCTCGCAGAAGACTTGGTTCACACAGGAAGTCGCACAAACAATGCAAGATAACAACATGTTTTTGTTTGCAATCAGTATAGGATTTAGACTTGATCATAAAGAACTTGGAGGGATTGCCAGTGATCCGGATAGCGTACACTATTTTAGTATTGATGAGTACAGTGACATGTCCTATATAAAGAGAACAATAGACGAAAAGATTTGCCAAGGTAACGTGTTTAACGAGAAATTTACACAAATGTAGTTGTAAAATGTTACTCAGCTACTTATACGATTTTACAACTGAAATATATACAAAGTCTTTTAGGAATTCTTAGTCAATGGCAATATATTAGATCCTAGTAAAGGACTAGGGGTCAAATACACTAAAGTATATGTTGGTGTGAAGTCTAATTTGCAGATTTTTGTCAAACTATATTGCAAAGTTTTATGAATACAGTAATAAAGAGTCTGTTTTTAACAACCATAATATAAAGCACTTCATCATTGCACTTGAATGCAAAGGAAGTTTTGCTCATTAATGTCGGTTTCTGTTTCGGTTTTACAGTGAATGACTTTGGTGATTGGAATTTCACAGACAACACAGCCGAGTTCAGAGGCAACGAGGAAGAGGTACTTATCTTGGGTATGTACACACACTTCAAGTTTCTTTGTTACACCACGACAAGATCGTTTCGTTACATGATTTACTTGCCTGCTTGTCTCAAATTTTAACCAATATTTTCCTTCAACATCTTATGGTTACTTTTATAATAAGATCTAATTGTAAAGACATAATTTCTCTTACAGCAGATTATTTTATCAGTAAAAAATAACATAAAGACAGTGTAAACCAAACCGGAACTAAAAATAAGTAATAAATAGATTCATTAATAGTTTTAATCAAATGGAGAAACCGTTATTTTAAAAAAAGGCTACACGTTTTCACATTTCAAAGAATAAAGGGACTTGCACGTAATTTGTACCTCTATAGAATAGCCGTCACTTTAACGATAAATATAATTGATATGCATCAAGGGGCTGTTGTTTATTGTTTGATTCAATTCTTTATATCATTAAACCTACCATTCTTTAAAGGATCCACTGAGTTCCAAAACCTAAAAAAATAATATTTGAAATTATCATATTGATAAGCTTGAGCTCTTAAAACAGAAAGATGTGTAAATATACTCTGAAATAAATTGAAAATCGTAGTTTTGTACTGTTCTTATTAAGATTTGAGTGAAACGCGTTACATTTTGAGTCATTTTTCACAATTAAAAAAAAAAACATTCTGGAAAACGGAGTGAGCGAACGAACACAAGTTATTGATGCAGATATACATCAAATGAAAATTCCATTTCGAAAAAATATTTTCATTCCCGTCATGTCAAAAAACTCAGTAGATTCTCTTTAAAACAAAACATGATTATCAAAAATATTATTGAAAGTTTGTCTAGACAAATTTAAAATAATATTAAAAAGAACCAAGTTCAATGATCATTGTTAATCTTTTTTAATTTGTAATTATCATTTCAGACTGCAGTGACAAGAAAGCTGATATATATTTTCTTATCGATGCCTCATATAGCATCAAATCTGACAACTTCGGTAAAGAGATGGACTTTGTGAGAAGTGTGGTTGATTTCCTTGACATCGGAAAAAATAAGACTCGTGTTGGTGCCATGACATTCAGTGATGAGATGAAATTCCTCGCTAAGCTGGAGTACAACTTGGGCAAAGAGGAGTTGATATCGCATTTAAACTCTGCGATCTATATGGGAGGTGGTACTGATACAGCAGTAGCTTTAAGACAAATCCGAGAAAAAGGTTTTTTCGGCAGTTCAAACCAAGTACGAGAAAACTCAGCAAGAATTCTTATAGTAATGACGGATGGTTTATCGCTTACACCAGATACTACAGACAGGGAGGCAAAGCTTTTGAAGAAAATGGGTGTCCAAATATTCTCTATAGGAATTGGCAGTGGTATCGACAAGCTTGAACTTGAAGACATTGCAAGTGATCCAATTGACAAATTCTTCCTCCACGTTGACGACTTTGGAGCTCTTGATACAGTTAAGATGAAGCTTGCAGCCAGAACATGCACTATTCCACCGACAGATAGTTTCTCCTTTTTTGCTGACCAAGCAGGTAACTTTGAATTTATTCCCGACAGTTTATTCCTCCACAAGTATTAGACCTTACCACGATAAATATCTAAACATTGACTTGTTCATCCTTTAATCTAGACAAAACCATTCATAATTTAAGGGAAAATTTAAAAAGAAATGTACTGTTTAAATAGCAAACAGTACAAAGATCATACAAAACAATGTGTCGACTGATCTTGGTCGGTTTGCAACGGTCGCTAGGGAAATCAGCTGCCATCGGCAGGAAGGGTTAAAAGATTCTGTTAAATTTTCTCTTCCGTTTGCAGTTTTGTTTTTAGTTGGTAAAATTTAAAACAGTCGAATGTTAATTAAATATATAATGTAATTTAACAAATAGTCATGATTTTCATAGCGCTGAAATTTAACATTTGTATTTTTCTCTTTTTATGTAGTATGCCATCCGATGAAGGCAACGGACTTACTTTTTGTATATGATGCACAGGCACTCGGAAGTTGGCGCTCCCAGGCTATATCTCATTTTATCTCAAACAGTGTCGCTGAGTTCAACTTAGCGACTGATGATCTTCGTGTAGGACGCGAAATAGAAAATTGTCCAAGTGGCAATATAGCTCTTGGTAGTGCTCTACACAATACGGATCTGGATGAAGTTCGGTACCCAACATTTACTGATATGCTACGACGTGTAAGCAGAAGTAAGATGACTGAAGAAAATGGCGGGAGAAAAGACGCTTCCAAAATGGCGGTTATTTTTGTCGATTCGTCACAAAGTATGAATTTTGAGACATTTATGGAAGCAAGAAGATTAAAAGAGAGTGTGAATTTCTTCTATGTGGTAACAATAGGGCATAATATGCAAACATTGCATCTCACGGGACTTGCCGGTGAAGGGCATTTCATTAGTGTAAAGAGCTATGACGAGTTGCATCCCTTGGCAGACAAACTTATGACGGACATGTGTGACTTCTTTTTCCAATTCTAGTTTATAAGTTATTATAGTTTATACAAGTTTATTAGGAAATAGTGTACAGATAAATGCTTTACATTTCTGAAAGTTCAATATTCTTTACAGATACGTTAAAACCGTTTATTATACGGCATTCCAAAACAATTTCAATGTATGGATTTCGCTTAAGACATCATAGAACGATTAATTTAAGCATATGCATAGTTTTACCTTCATGGAGTTTCTATTCTTTTCCACTTTATATCTCTTGAAATAGATTTATGTCCAATTTGATGTGATTTTTGAAGCAGCTGTTACGCACACAGTTTGAAATTTAATTTGATATTAATTGACTGAAAATGAAAGTGACCGACGTAATTTGTCCGTTCATAACGCAGAAAAGGCTAAGTTAAAATAAAAAGATTGCGAACCCTATAATGAAGTTTTATACAAAACAACATAGCCACATTTATTGGTTTATTCGCAGAAACTATATGTAGTTTAACGTGGTATAATTGTTTGTGAATTGCAATTGCATAAACACATTGAATACTCTGTGTTATTTTATAATTATACAGGCATTTTCATTTATCTAAATCATTTATAGTATTATTCATTTTTGTTAACTATCGTATCCAGTAGCATTTTTGTATAAATTAGATAACGTGCTTCAGTTGAAATATAATATGATAAATATGGTATATTAGATTATACATAAATAAATGCTACAATGTACAAAGCTGTGTCATTTGTGGATTGGTGATAAAATTGTAGACTGTGAGGTAAAAAAAAATGCATTAATTTCTTTGTATAGTATGCAGATTATTGTAAATAGTTTTCGTTAAGGACACTTTAAGCCTACAATATTTAGATAATGGGCCAGTAGATTCTGCAAACATGTTTATTACGCATGTTTCACTTATATGTACATGCATCACAATGTCTTATACAGTTTACCCGGTTTCTACTAATTACTCCCGTACAGTAAAACGCTCGCACGGTAAATACTACTGTTAATCAAAAGTTATATTATTGCTCAAATTAAGTTAAGTCAATAGTTCAAGAAATTATATTAGAATTGCAAGATCAAAATAACTGTCACATAGGGCAGAAGTCCTGAACTTGAATAACTTTTATTCCTTATACAAAAATAGGTATGCCAATTTGTACTATAACAGTCGCATCAATTAGGCATCAATGTATATTTATCAATTTGTCAGTATTTAAGCAAATATAAATGCAATTACATTGATTTTGCATCTAGCATGACATATCTATACATGTATATACACTGTGCTGGTCGCAATAAAATTTGAACCTTACATGTTGTACTTTTTTCTTTTTTCATTCACTCCACACGCTATGTCTGATAAAAAAAACAACATCATGTAATTTAATCAAATATCTGTATTCTCCGGATTTGACATCGAAGATTAGTCTCTAGGTTGCACTGTTACTATGAAAATGCATTATATATGTATGGATTTGTGTCTCTGTTTCTATGCAACTTACGTCATTACAATGTATGGTAATTCATGTAAAACGCAAGACCGCGAGTTGACTTGTTTGAGTTATAATACCTCGATTTCAAATAGGTACCATTCTGTAATGGTTCATTCGATTGAGGTTGCTGCAAACCAATATCTAAAATGCATTTGAGCCGCGTCATGGCAAAACCAACATAATAGGTTTGCGACCAGCATGGATCCAGACCAGCCTGCGCATCCGCGCAGTCTGATCAGGATCCATGCTGTTCGCTTACAAACCCTATTACAAGTAGAGAAACTGATAGCGAACAGCATGGATCCTGATCAGACTGCGCGGATGCGCAGGCTGGTCTGGATCCATGCTGGTCGCAAACCCACTATGTTGGTTTTGTCATGACGCGGCTCATTTGTATTTAGAGCTGTACACCTCTAGAACAAGCCGTCATGTGACGAGCTATGATGTACCAGACAATCCTGTAACAGCCAATTATGTGACTTGTAATAATGTTACATGCACTTTCTGACAAGCTGTCATGTAACGTGTAGCTTTGTAACAAAATTATCATTTAACATGCAGTTATATCACAAACTATCACGTTAAGTAACAACGCAACATGACATTATGCGGCAATTATTTGTAGGTGTCAGCTTTTTTTGTGCCGATTATAGCACATCTCATCATTTCTCGGAGGGCGATCCACTACTTGACTTTCCCCCGGGTAACTAACAATTTCTCATCGAAGAGACCGACACTAATCTAATGATGTCGGTCAGCAGTGAAGAAAAAGCCCTTGACTATCGAAGATTGTTTTGGATTTTACGTCACACAGAACGTATATGTCTAGGGAGTTTTCCCGTTTACGGTGGGGGAACCCGGGGGCCTTTGGCACATTTCAGCCCGCACGGGGGACCTGAGTGAAACCATAACGTTCCCTAGCTGATGGATAGTTTCTTCACCTGAAAGTTTGTTTGTTTGATTGGGTTTTACGTCACATCGACACAGTATAGGTCATTTCACATGAAAGAGTCAGGATTTAAACCCGCAACGGTGAGAAATTAGGTCTTGCATAGTTTCAAGTTTACATACGCAATGCTCTCCTATTAGCGGGCGGACTTTTGTGACAAGCTATCATGTAATGCGCAATTATCTGACAAGAGACCAAAGTTTTACTACACTAACTACAACGAATTTAAAACAAACAACACCATTCATTTCTTTATTTCATTTTTATTCTGGATTTTTTTTACAATGAATTTATCGAAAAACATTTATCATAATCTAACATTCATATCAACAGAGCTAACCTTATCTTTGATAGGGTTTTCTAACATGTCTAATGTATCAAATTCAGAAATAGTGAATGCATACTGAATAATTTTTAAAGATCATTTCATTTCTAAATATTAGAATATATACAATTAAACACACTTATGATTGCAGGATAAGAAACAATATCTCATGAATATAGGGTATGTTACAATCATTATTGTATAGAAATATCTATAGTGAAATTAATGTTAAACTTATGAATGATTTATTTATTTACACATTGTTCTATCTATCAAAAATATGACACTAAGTAATGGTCAACTGGAGTGTTAACCCCTTTAAAAAACAAAATAAATAACAAGTCAAAACAGGGTTGGGATGAAAAGTTCAAACTACATAATTATATATCTAGTAACTTTCATAGTTTAAAAATAATTCAAATTTGTCCTTCTTTTAATTACACAGTTTAAAATTTCATTATCATCTTAATCACGGATTTATTTGTAATATAAATCCGTGTCTAAATAAAGTGATATGGTTGTCTGAATACGCATATTTGTATGTTACATTTTTTTTGTGTGTCCATATCAAGATTTTAATAAGGTTACAATTTTACATAAAGAGCTTGACATGATTCAAAATATTCAACATTTTTATATACATGTACATGTAGTTTGTAACACCAGTGTTTATGCAGTCAGTTAAAGGCACATTAGGTAGCACTCCACAGTTAATTTCAAGTTCCTGCCGTCAATGTCCTACAAGCAATACGTCTATTAATTCTGATACCAAACTACCATCATATTTGATGTCACAAAAACAAATGTCATGCTGCAAATGCACTTTAATATTCACTATATCCAAGAAATCCTCCCTGGCCATTCGAAGCTGTGGCGTGCTACCTTATGCCTCAGAATTTTTTTTTTATTTATTTCTTTGGAAACATGTAATGTTTGAATAATGGGTTTCAAAAAATGTTAGATGCTTGTTACCTAAAAACCTGCTATAAATGTAAAATAATTTGTCACAAAAGTAGTTGACTGTATACAAAGTAATATTTTGATTTCCATTCAAAATGCTAAGTCACTATAACTGTACTTATTGCCAAAAAGAAAGAGATCAAAAAGAAGGTTTTGGTAGTTGGTAAATGAGTAACGTTTTGGATGCTATAACAGTAAACCAAAATTAAAAAAAAAAACTTTTGAGAAATAGAAATAAAAACATTTCTTAGGCATAATGGGCCTTTAAATACAAATAAATTGTAAGCAAAAGAACAAAACAAAATTAAAATCTTCATTATCACTATTAACTGCAATTCACCAGACATACCTTACAATATTCTATCAAGTTATAATAACTTAGCTGTATAAATTAACATACAACCCTGCTATTAAATCTACTAATCCACAAACAATATATCTTTGCAAATGTTTGAAAATTATAGTAGAATAAAACTTTAAAATCTTTAATCAGCAAGTATTTCTGGAAGCAATACATGCATGAAAATTTTCCATCTAGTTTCACAAACAAAAGGTCACAGCACCATGTGCCAAAGAGAAGCTTTGACAGAGCAAATATACCAATAAAATATGAGCCGCGTCACAACAAAACCAACATAGTGGGTTTGCGGCCAGCATCCACGCAGTCTGATCAGGATCCATGCTGTTCGCTTACCAACTCTATTACAAGTGGAGAAACTGACAGCGAACAGCATGGATCCTGATCAGACTGCGCGGATGTGCAGGATGATCTGGATCCATGCTGGTCGAAAACGCACTATGTTGGTTTTGTCACAACGCGGCTCATATCTATCTACACAGACAAGAAACCACTCATCAATCTGGTCACAGTACAGTAAGAACAGTAAGAATAGCACTACATAAATCAACTATAATTAGTCCCTGTGTCAGCTCAAAGAATTCTCAAGGAAATCTGGATATCCACTGAATAATTAGGCAACATTTTATTACCCCTTCACAGATAAGTAAATACATTTTCATACACAGATTCCTGTTTTTACCAATTCATTTGTAAAACAATCTTAGATTTCACACTATATGCACTCAACATTGTCATACCAGGAAACACCTTTGTCTTTCATATATAACAACATAAACAATGTTCATTCTCTTATTTCCACGCTATTTCTTACCAAACATTGAGCAACATTTAAACAATCCAGCTAGACCAGCTTAATCAACAAGTCTAGCCATATATGTCATCAAACCTTTGAAACAAAGTTGTAATTCACTTAATTCTAAAACTATTTATTGTTTCATGCTGCATCTGAAAACATTTAACTGTTGAGTGCTTCAATGCAAAACTCATATTTGTTTAGTTTTGCATCTCATAGCTCTTGTTTAATGCAGCATCTAAAAACTCTGAATTTTTAAGTATTTCATCTCATAACTCTTGTTAAGTGTTGCATCCAAAAACACTTAATTGTTAAGTGCTGCATCTCAAAACTCTTTAATTGTTTAGTTTTTTATCTCAAAACTCTAATTGTTTAGGGCTGCATCCAAAGAAATAACTGTTCAGTCCTGCATCTAAAAAACTCCTAATTGTTTAGTTTTGCTTCTCATTAGTGCTGCATCTCTAAGTTCTTAATTGTGTAGTTTTGCATCTCAAAACACTTAATTGTTTAGTGCAGCATTATCAAAACTGTCTGAATCCTTTGCGCCGCATAACTTGAAGCAATTTATTTAACACTTAAACTAATATTATTGTTTCAATCCCATCTTGATTTTTTCCGTTTCTTGTTGTGAGAATGGTGGGGTAATGGATTAGGGTTTTCTGGCTCGTGAATTCCTGTAGGTATAGTTTTTGGAGCTGAATCCACTGCTGCTACAAAGTTTGTTTTATACTGTGCCTAGTAAAATATAAATAAATAGATAATGAATATACCATACAACATTGCATTGAGCAAACAATGTTTTATATAATAAAAACTATTTTATATCATTGATAATCCTAATTTCTTGATATATGTGAAGATGAGGTATGAAACACTTCTCATTCATCCTGTATTGTACGGCAAGACCAATATAGAGAACTTAATGAAGGAAGTCCAGTCTAGACATTGAACCTTAGGGGGAACTGAGTAGGTCCATTCAAAAAATCGAAACTGACTGAGGCCCTCAGGAGGCCCAGTGGAAAGAACTAAACTACCCAGTCAAAACTGAAGATAGACAAAACCATAGTCATTACCTGTCTCAGGATTCAAGATTTCTTACCTTACCTCGGGATGTAGCCATTAAAGTGCAATGATTTATGATAAAAAGTAACATAACATTATGTCTTTAATATTATGACTAAAACTTCACTTATTGCCAAACCGAAAACGTAGGAGAGGATGGTTCAGTTATATTGCCAAGGAGTGCATTATCAGACACAATTACGAGTCACCAAAAATAAAAAGCTTTTGAGAAATAATAATACTTGGTATGTAATGAGCATTTAAATAAATGTATAAACATTGTTATATAAGATATAACAATATTTAACTTACTGCAAAAGCTGTTTTCATTGCTGACATTCTGTCTGTCTGTGGACCTCTACCTAGAGCCGAGCTTGCTCTAAATGATGTAAAACTTGTGGAATCTTGTACCCTTGTACTCTGTGTGAATCAAACATAATGTTATGGTTAATCATATTCATGCTCAATGGATTTAGATAAACCTCGTCTTAAACTTTCAGCAATCAGAAAGCACAAATCATTAGTGTTTTACCTCAGATAGTTAATGAACCCTTTCCAAATGGCAATAAATTATAATTTTGCCAAAACGCAATCCAAAAATTTCTTCTTTAAAATTTATTAATTTGGCAGTTGATCTGACTGTATCTGGGTTTTTTTTCTTCAACTTATTTCTAGATTCAGAAAATTAACTACTAATACAAAAGAAAAAAGAAACACTATCAGTTGAGCTCACAATGCTAATGAAATTGAGGAAAATTTCAAATTTATATCATTAGAAGTAAATGATGCAAAAAAGCAACAAATAAGAAAAAGTAGTCTTCAACTCCTGAATTGATTCTGTTGTTGTTGATGTTCAAATTAAATTTTATAAAACTTTTACTTCAACTATCAAAAATTTTCAAACTAGTTATGGGTTACTTTTTGAACAGTGTCAGATATTCATCTAATACATTTTATAAACAAGAACGTGTTTGTTAAACACAAATGCCCCCGGCTCAGATTCTTGTCAGTAGCAATACTTCGTAAATGTTTACCCATTCACTCAGTTATGGACAGAAAAATCACCAAAAAATTGTAAACACAAGTTTTATAGCTTGACAAAGTCATGGCATTTTGTAATTGAGAAAAACATAAGTTGCCAAGTCATTGCTCTGACTTGTGAAGTTGAAAAATATTCAACTTCATGCAAGTTATCTTCCTACCAAATACGAAATACATCTGTCATTAAAACAAGAGCTGTCGTTAGGACAGCAACGCTCGACTATTCTTAGTGCTTGATAGTAAAAAAAAAATGCTTGATACAGTTACCTCCTCCTGTTTACAGGTTGGGGTAATGATGGTGAACAAGTGTGCAAAGTTTCAAAGCCATATGTCAATGGACTTTGAAAATATTTGAGGTATTACAAAAACTTTAACATAAATTCTAAGTCAAAAAAAGGGGCATAATTCTGTCAAAATGCTTGATAGAGTTACCTCCTCCTGTCTACAAGTTGGGGTCATGATGGTGAACAAGTGTGCAAAGTTTCAAAGCCATATGTCAATGGACTTGGAAAATATTTAAGGTATTACAAAAACTTTAACATAAATTCTAAGTCGAAAAAAAGGGGCATAATTCTGTCAAAATGCTTGATAGAGTTACCACCTCCCGTCTACAGTTGGGGTCATGATGGTGAACAAGTGTGCAAAGTTTCAAAGCCATATGTCAATGGACTTTGAAAATATTTGAACTATTACAAAAACTTTAACGTAAATTCTAAGTTGAAAAAGGGGCATAATTCTGTCAAAATGCTTGATAGAGTTACCTCCTCCTGTCTACAGGTTGGGGTCATGATGGTGAACAAGTGTGCAAAGTTTCAAAGCCATATGTCAATGGACTTTGAAAATATTTGAACTATTACAAAAACTTTAACATAAGTGGTTACGCCGACGCAGACACCGACACTGACGCCGACGCTCGGGTGACTGCAATAGCTCTACTTATTCTTATCGAATAGTCGAGCTAAAAAAGGCTGTATGGGCAAAAGTGCAAAAATCTATTTTGAGCACTGGTGACCTTGACCAAACTGACCCCTAACTCTATCCATGTAAGTTACCTTCCTACCAAATACGAAATACATCTGTCAATAAATAAAGGCTGTATGGGCAAAAGTGTAAAAATCTATTTTTAGCACTTGTGACCTTGACCCAACTGACCCCTTACTCCATCCAAAGGAAGAATACCATGCAAGTTATCTTCCTACCAAATATAACAACTGTCAATAAATCAAAGCTGTATGGGCAAAAGTGTAAAAATCTATTTTTAGCACAAGTGACCTTGACCCACTGATCCCTACCCCAATCAAAAGGATGAATACCATGCAAGTTATCTTCCTACCAAATATAAAATTTATCTGTCACTTAATAAAGGCTGTATGAGCAATTGTGTAAAAATCTATTTTTAGCACTGGTGACCTTGACCCAACTGACCACTAACTCCATCAAAGTTTATGTTTCTATCAATTATAAACTAGAACTATCGCTGAATGCGATTCATACCCCCACCAATGTCCTTGACAGAAGACCACTTGGAAAGGTGGTTAAGGGAATAACTGAAGTGGCACAAATACATAAAAAAGAAATTATCTCTGGTGAAAAAAGACTAATTGTACAGGTAATAGTAAAAATATCTATTATCAAATCATGTTTGAAACAGTTACAAATAACCTTTCATTTTCCCAATATACTAAACTTTTTATAAGTCAATTTTTGACCTTCAAGTGTGGCCTTGACCTTCAGCTGGCACAAAGGTATGATGGGTTTTGCACATCGCCCAATTGGAGTGAACATTTGAGTAAAGTTTGAAGAAAATCCTTCCATTAGTATAGAATTTATAGAGCGGACACAACATATTGTCTAGTATTGATTGTATGTAAATTTAAACTTAAAAAGGGGCATAACTTTGTCAAAATGCAATACAGAGTTATGAAACTTGACCTGCATATCGTAAATGTGACACCTCATATATCTTTTAAGTTTCAAGCAAATACCTATGCTAGTTTCCGAAATATTCAAGAACATGTTTTAATCTAAGAACATTTTCTAAGTCAATTTTTGACCTTCAAGTCTGACCTTGACCTTTAGCCTGCACAAAGGTGACATGGATTCTGCACATAACCTTGTTTAGGTGAACATTTGAGAAAAGTTTGAAGAAAATTCTTTCATTAGTATAGGATTTATAGAGCGGACACAACATATTGTCTAATATGTGATTGTATGTAAATTTGAAGATTAAAAAGGGGCATAACTTTGTTAAAATGCAATACAGAGTTATGAAACTTGACCAGCATATCTTAATTGTGACACTTCATTTATATTTTAAGTTTCAAGCAAATACCTTTCCTAGATTCAGAAATATTCAGATATATGTTAAAATTAAAGAACATTTTCTCAGTCAATTTTTGACCTTCAAGTGTGACCTTGACCTTAAGCCGGCAAAAGAGTGACATGGGTTCTGCACATAACCTTGTTGAGGTGAACATTTGAGCCAAGTTTGAAGAAAATCTTTCAATAAGTGTAGGACTTACAGAGCGGACACGACATACTGTGTAATATTTGATTGTTTTATATTTGACCTTCAATTGTGACCTTGACCTTGAGCTGACACATGGACAACATGGGTTCTGCACATCCCATTGTTAAAATGAACATTTGAACCAAGTTTGAGGAAAAACTTTCAATTAGTGTAGGACTTACAGAGCGGACACGACATATTGTGTAATATTTGATTGTTTGATATTTGACCTTCAATTGTGACCTTGACCTTAAAATGACACATGGGCAACATGAGTTCTGCACATCCCCTTGTTGAGGTGAACATTTTAGCCAAGTTTGAAGAAAATCTTTCAATTATTGTAGGACCTACAGAGCGGACACAACATACTGTCTTATATATGATTGTGTTTGATATTTGACCTTCAATTGTGACCTTGACCTTGAGCTGACACATGGGCAACATGGGTTCTGCACATCCCCTTGCTGAGGTGAACATTTGAGCCAAGTTTGAAGAAAATCCTTCAAGTGGTATAGGAGTTATAGAGCGGACACGAAAATGGAGACGGACGGACGGACCGACCGACCGACTGACCGACCGACCGACCGACGCGACAAAGCGAATCCATTATAGCCCCCCCCACATTTTGTGGTGGGGGTATAATAACATCTGTCTATAGAATAAGGTCAATACACCTGTAAAAATGTAAAAATCTATTTTTAACATTGGTGACCTTGACATTGGTAACATTGACCTTGACCCAAATGACCCCATACTACACCCAAAGAAGGAGGTGTTTGTATTAAACTAAGACATCAACTAAAAAATAAAGGCTGTATGAGCAAAAAGGTTTATATTTATTTTTTAAACCAGTGTGACCTTGACCTTGACCCTAGAGACCGCTTACTCTAAAAAAAAATTAGAGGACCATCAAAGGTATCCACCTACTAAATATGAAAGATATCAGTAAAGAAATTAAGCAATTAGGAGAAATTTAAGATAAATCCAACTTGGCGAAATAGGTTAACCAGACAAGGCCCTATTTTCAAAGTGAAAAAAGGGAAATAACTGGGAAATATGGATGACACAGTTATATAACTTGGCAATATCATGTGCTTTGTATTGATAAGTAAGTGTGGAAATTATAAGCCATTAGTATAGATAGAACTTAAGATATTTCCAACTTGCCCGTTTAGGTTAACCATTATTCATTTTCTAAAGTGCTGAAAAGGGCAATAACTTGGTAAATATGAAAGCCAGAGTTATGAAACTTGCCCAGATTGTGTACTTTTGTATTGATTAGTAAGTGTGTAAACTTAGAAGCCATTGGTACAGGTAGAACTTAAGAAAAATCCAACTTGCCGTTCTAGGTTAACCTCATACGGACAGACAGACAGACGGACGGACGGTTCAATCACTATATGCCCGGGGGCATAAAAACATACCAGTACTACAAATATTCCACAAACTGTCTCTTTATTGAATTAATTATAATCAACAAATGAAATAAACAAGAGCTGTCGGTAGGACAGCAACGCTCGACTATTCTTAGTGCTTGATAGTAAAAAAAGCCTTAAAATTAAAAAGGAAAAAATTTTCTAAGTAAAGAAAAAGGAAAATTTGGGTTTTTAAAACCCAAATTATTACAGTTATGGGCCTTTGGGAGAAAGTCCTATTATATCTCAAAAAAAAGTATAAAATTTAAAACATTTTTAATATTTGACTCGCAAATTGGGTTTCAGCTAGTTTTTAGCCACTAGCTGATAACCCCCCGCCAAAATTCCCTGGCATCCCCTCTATGTATTATTTTTAGTAAATAGTTTTAAAGTAACCAGAGGGCTGCGTTGTTTAATCTCTCTACCCATGTTTGGGCCCAGTAACTATTTTTATA